TAGGGCCCTCCCATCTTACCAATCTAACTGCTTTAGGGGAGGTCAAGCGGATGACACGTTTGCCCACATCTGGTAGGATTGTCCATTCGTATCCGAATACGGGTCCAAAATTCACCATATATCCAAACTGTGATGGGCTCTCCATCCAGAAGGGCCCCTATGTTACTCTCCTAAAAAGGAAACCGTGTGGTTACACCCCAACTAATTTTAAGCTGCGTCGGCACATAATTACGACTGCTAAGTGGGTGACTGCTAAGTGGGTGTTCTTGGAAGACCCTCACACTTTCTCTTTGGCTACTTTTTGATATGTCCCATACCATGTTCTTCGAGAATCTCAGTTGGTCAAGATGACACAATGGACAAATTGTATACTATATGGACCCCTTGAATAGATGCCCCCCCATTTTTTTAGAGAGACTCCCTGCATCTATGAATGGGTCTCATTCGAGATTTTTTACTGCTTCCTTCCTTTCCCAGCATCGATTTCTTCCTCTCTGTTTACTCTCCCTTCATACCATTTTCTATATGTCAGGTCCCCCCTATCCGGGATCTGTATATTCTGTGACTAACCCTCAAAGAACTTAATGAAAGAGATTTATGGTGGGTATATCTCCATATTTTATAAAAGGCCAGAACACATATTATAAACCTTTCTTTTCACATAAAATATACGTTCTGACTGTTCTACCAATTTATAAAGCTGTCCTGGGCTATTTCCTCTACTAATTTTCCTCAAATTCAGGCAGAGGGGAAAGTAATCTAACAAAATCTATTTTGATGGATTTGCAAATTTTTTGGAGTGAAAATTTCACCTTACTTAATTCCTTACTTTTTAAAGGTTGATTTAGCATATATTTTTCTTCTTATCAATCAGAATCATTTCCATTCCATTTGTGGTGCAGGATTGGACAGAATGTTGAGCTTTCAGATGGCATAACACATGTGGGAGGTACATAAGAATGAAAATGCAATAAAGAGATGCATTGCAATAACTTATAGTTTATGCAGAGACTACTTTGCGAGTTACATTATGTAAAGTCATTTATTAGTGATTTTGAGCATTTACAAGGAGAGGGAGCCTTGAGAGTGGAAACAGTTATCAGGTATTTAGCAGATAATGACAAACCTCTACTTTTGATGAATCTTTTCCAGTCTGTAAGTAAAAATTAAGCAAGACTCAGTGCTGTTGTAATTAAGGGTTTTTAAAAAAATAATAATTGTAATATACAGTAGTTTGACATAGATCCTCAAATTTTAGGAATGCAGAATTATTTTTCAAGCAGCCATACACAGTTTAACAGTTTAAATATTTGTTATTTTTGTGATGTCGTGTAGATATCCGCAATTATAAATATCTACCGTTACGTATAACTCCCTCTGAATAATGTAAGGGTCCAAAACATTTTCCAAAACTCAGGTTTGTATTTCAAAATGCAAATCAGGCGATGAGCAATTATCGTCTTGTTTTTTTTACCAGTCACTGGAAGCATTCTCAAAATATACAGGAGAATGTTTGCATTTCAGTTACAGCACAAAAATGTAATTTATTGCAGCTTACTGGTCCTTAAATGTGGAGATTGCATGCATTTTCTCTCTTAGGTTTTTTTACCTTTATTTTCACCTGGGGATCATGCCAGCAACACACTTCCCCTCCTAGGGTTACAATGATTACTCACGATGCTGAAGAGTGTTGTAATTCTAGGGGTCAAGATTACGGAACACCGACCCCTTTTCTATTCTACAACCCCAATACCAAAAAGGTTGGGACGCTGTGTAAAATCTACATAAAAACAGTCTGCAAGGATTTGCAAATCTCAAACTAATATTTTATTCACAGCAGAAAATAGAAAACATATCAAATGTTTAAACTGAGGAAATTTACCATTTAAAGAAAACAAATAAGGTAATTTTGAAATTGATGGATGCAACACGGCTCAGAAAGTTGGAGCATGACAACAAAAAGCTGGCACAGTAAGTGGTACTAAAGGTGCCCATACACCTTACAATTATCTGCAGATTTTCTGTGGTCAGATGGAAAAAGTGCAACAGATTGGCCCAGGTGGAGATTACTCCATCCACACAGTTAAGTGTAGATGGAGGAATCTGTTGCACCTTTTCCATCTGACCACAGAAAATCTGCAGATAAATTGTAAGGTGTGTGGGCACCTTTAGAAGGTAGTGCTGGAAGAACATTTTGCAACATTTTGATTGGGATCACCGCTAAATCAGTTTACTCTTTTTAAACAGTTTGCTCAGCAATGCCCTATTGAAGGTTTTCTTAATAAATGGGCTGTCCCTGTCATAGACCCAGCTATATCTTGTTTAAACAAGACTTTAATGGCCCATGTAGAGGATATTCCACATAGAAGCCCTCTTTAAGGTCCTATTTCCCTTATGCATCCTGGTGTTGCTGCCATGGTGGTGTGTCAGATCTTATCTGTGTAATGAAAAGCTATGGCTAATGATCCTGGGTCTATCTATCACTGCTTTAAAACGGCTAGAACTCTTTCCTATGGCTTTGTGCTACGGAGTCGATGGCATGGAAGATGCCCTCAGAAAAATCTCCAATGAGTCTACTGTCTGTCCACATGCGATGGATGCTACGGCTTAAATGCTGGTCTGTGGAGCATCCTTGGAAGAAGTGCCTTGAATGTATGCCCTTTACCAGGAAACACCTGTTCAGTGAATCTTTGGATACCTACATTAAGGAAGTAATGAATAGCAAGAATGCCTTCATACCACTAAGAAGTCAAAGCATCCAGCTGCAAACTCCTCTCCCCTTTTTTTTAAGAAAAGTTCCACGCCTAAGCCAGGCCCTCAGTTTTGTCATAATTCCTGGTCCTTGAAGCCTGCTAAATTCTGGAAAAAGACATTTCCTTATGAAGGGGTGATATTTGTCAGCCTTCTAGGTCTCCTGGGTCCAGGACATTCCCAAAGCCTGCATCCTGAGCATAGTAACAGGGTTATAGTCTGAAGTTTAATTTCCCAGTTTCTGGATTTGCTCACTGCCCTAGATAAGCTCCTTGCTCAGAGGATCATAGTCACCTACCTTCACCTAGGAGACTATCTGGCATTTGGTACACATCAAGGATTTATATGTTCACATCACAATTTTTCCTGGCCATCGATGCTACCTGCATTTTGTTGTGGACACGCAACACTACCAATTTGTTGTCCTTCATTTGGCCTGTCCACTGCATGTCAGGTCTTCACCAAGATGCTGGTCCCTGTTGTGGCTTTGCTTCGGCCTCAGGGTCTCCCTGTAGTAGTCTGCTTAAACGATCTTCTCCTTAGAGAGCAGTTGGTGCCTTATCATCGAACATTCATTGAATGATACAAGTCCTGCAGAACTTAGGATGTTATCACTTCAGTACCTGGGCCTAGTCTTGGACATGGCCCTGTCCTTCCTTTCCCTGGAAAAGTCCAATCTCTCCACTCCCATGCTCAGTTTAGGGGTTGCGCAACTGTTTGTTTTGCTTAAAGGTTCTGGGCTTGATGGTGGCCTCTGTCAAGGCTGTCGCCTATGTTCATTTTCAGTCCAGGCTGTTGCATACGCAGCCAACATTCTGGCTGCGTATGACAATCAGGTTTGATCCCTAGACCTCTATTCCCTTGTCTAGTAAGGCCAAGCTTGCCCTGGCATGATGGAGCTTCAGCCGGGCACTGGAATCTTGAAAATCCTGCCTCACAATGGTCTGCAAGATGCTCACAATGCCAGCCTTTCAGGCTTGGGAGGAGACTTGGAAAACATCTCCTAGCACTCAGAGCTATTTGTTTCTCCCTTCAATACTGGACCCCTCTGTTACAGGGCCAGCCGATGAGCATTCAGTTGGACAGTGCCACAGTCATGACTAGCTTTGTCCTGCCCTTTCCACTGCACATCCCAGGAATGGAGAATTGTCAGATTAACTTCCTCATTGTCAACTTCTGGACCCTGTGGAATGGTCCATTCACATGGAGGTGTTTCTGGTGCTTTGCCTCAGGTGGAGAACACTGGAAGTGGACTTCCTGACGTCTAGTTTTATCAACAAACTGGACAAGTTTGTTGCCAAGAACAGTGTGGTGACTCCATGGGATCAGTTCAGTCTGATCTACGTCTTCCCTCCTCTGAAACTCTTGCCGCACCTCCCTTGCTGGGTCAAGATGAGGGCATTATGGTAATCCTCATTGCTTCCAACTGGCCCAGGAAAACCGTGGTATGTGAATGTTTTCAAACTCCTAGAAGTCTCTCAGTGAACCTTTCTGAATTGGCCAGACCTCCGTCCCATGTCATTCTACTTCTGTTTCGCAGTTGCTGGCTTATGCCCTCCTTCTAAACATCCTAAAGAAATTTTCTCCACTATGTGGTTCAGACTGTCTGTGTTTTACCTCTCTGTTACTACTTTCATCTGCAAGTCTGACTCTCTCCATCATTGCTGAGAGTTCCCGTATGGGGCAGCTGGCTTCTCTTAAGTGGCTAATCATAAACGCGGAACATTTCCTCACCTGGATAGTATGAAACATATATAATTATATGGGTTCTGTACCTTTTACTATAGAATGTGATTATGTATAAGAGGCATCTTATTGTTTTAATACTGATATATAAAACAGTTTTGGTTTTTGTATTGGGGTGTTGTGTAATATATGGTTTGAACATGAGGTGGCAATGCAGTAACCCTTACAAAGCTTTAAGCTGATTGTATATACAAGATCTAGGGCGAGTTTACCATAAATATCTTTCTCAATTCAAATTCATCATTTCTACCACCATAGTGATATCTAAATATTTATGTTAAATATTAACTTTGAATTATTTTAGTTACTTTTAAATTAACTTGTTACAGATTGTTGGCCTTTGTAGCAATGTAAAATGTCATAGCTACTTAAGTGGATTACAGTATTCTGTGTGTGGTTGCCAGTTCCTCAGTCAATAATTCACTTGTATGTTTTCAAGTACTGCACAATTGATAATTCAGTGTGAAAAAAATATTAATTTTACTTTTGTCATGTTGACATAGGCTGTACAAGGAACGGGATTGGCATTTATTGCATTCACTGAAGCCATGACTCATTTTCCTGCATCTCCATTTTGGTCTGTTTTGTTTTTCTTCATGCTGATTAATCTTGGGTTAGGAAGTATGATTGGCACTATGTCTGGGATCATTACACCCTTAATTGATACATTTAAAGTACAAAAAGAAATATTAACGGGTAAGTAGTATTCAGTATCCTTTGTTATATTATAATACTTCTAGTAATAAATACTGAAAAAAATTGGTTATGTAATGTGTATGGACCAAGATATAACCTTTTATGTGTTTGTGTTTCTTTTGTAATTTCTCTTCCTGCATTTAAGATTGCCTAGTGCTACATTTCCTCATGTTTTAGTTACTCAGAAATTATTCCATCAAAATTGTAAGCTGAGTTTTTTATTAGACAAAGCTATGGTTTTTTTTTTTTTTTAAGGGTGGACTGTGAAGGCTTTAAACACTCTAAAGAATCGCATATGGTAAAATCCTTTTCTTCTTTAACAGATGTCCATTGGGTTAAAAGCTTTCTATCGACATTAGCTATTTACTCATATTTATTTGAGCACCTATGTTTTTTTCAAAATAAACAAGCTTTGCTTCTTTAATATTTTATTAAAAGAAAGCACTTTCATCCTTTTTTTATTCTAGTTGTCATGCTGTAACACTAAATTTCATATTTGGGCTGGCTTCACACCTATGCATTGGGGTAATGTGTGGCAAAACACACATTTAGAAAGGCACCTCAATGCAAAAATACAGCAGTTACCAACACATCAGCACTGCAACCATCATGATGCACTTGTAGCCTATTGAAACTTAACAGAGTGACTTAACGCAAAGCACATTAAGAAGCAAAATTCCATACGCTAACATGTATGCGGTAATGCAGCAAAATAGTGTGAAGGGACCCTTAAGCTTTGGTTAACATAGCTGGGGAAAAGTAAATTTCTTTACATTTTAAGTATAATTTGAAGACTGACATTTTTCAAGTTCAAAAATAAAACTCTTGTTCCTGGAACATTATTACTTCGGTGCTGCCTGGCCATCACTTAGTTACTTACATACCTCCAGTTACAAAGTTGACATAAGTTGACTTCTGCCGCCTTGAGACGGCACCTATGCCTGGATTTATTCAAAGTAGATGCCAGCTGTTTTACTACATCAGTGTTTAACATTGTTATTTATTCTGAATGAATAGTCTGCTTACAATACAAAGAGAACAAAGATGTAGATGATAGAATAGGTGATTGTGACAGACCGCCAGCCTGCTTCCTCGACTGGGTACCTTTGTCAGAATTCAGCTTCCTCCACTCTGGAACCAGAATACCCAGGCAGAACCAGTATATATTAGGGTGAAACCAAGACTCCCTTTATTGACAAACACCACAATATTTATACACAAAATCTTCCCCCTAGACAGGTATGGCACACATTACAAGTCCCAGGAGATTAAGGGTGTTATTCACTAAGCTGCTGAAAGCAGCCAAGTGAATAACCGAGCCAAAGTGAAGGGAGCCAAACACCATTCGGCTATTCACTTCAGCCAAGTATGGCTGATTTCAGCCGTACTTCGGCTCTCTTCGGTTTAGCCGACCATGCTCGGCCTGGTAAAACTTTTGGGGGAACCCCAAACTTTTTTTTTCTTTTTAACTTGGGGTCCCTCCTCACTTTCCTACCAAACCTAAGGGGTCTGGTATGGATCACGAGGAGAACCCTGCGCCGTTTTTTAAAAATTGTTTGTTCAGATTTGCAAGGAGAATGGTCTGCTTCGGCTGTAACTTCGGCTCAGGCAAGCCAAAGCATATGTGTTCAGCTGCTGTACGGGCTATTGTAAATAGCCCGTACAGCAGCCCTTCGGTTCGGCTGAACCGAAGGGCTTCGGCGGCTGAATAACCCCCTAAGTAAACAAAAAAACATCAGACACTGGGCAAGGGCTTTTCACTCCAGGAGAACAATAGATTCCTTCCTGGCACGTAGCAGTTTGGAGGTGATAAACAAAGTGTGGGATTATCACCTAAACCTAATTACAACAGATAATTCAACATTAGCTTATGGCAGGAAACCTGTATCCAACCTGATTCCAGAAAGTAGAGTTTCTCATAAATTGAACCAGGGGTCGAGTTAATTCCTCATGTGCTGATGAGTTTGCACCCTGTAATTATAATAGGCTCTGGGTAGCTTAAACATAAGGGGTGACTGAGGAACCATGGAAGGGGTCTCCCAATACAAGTCCACAGTCTGGTACAGGGCAGGATACTGGGGTATAGGGAAACCCAAAGCCGCATGGCAATCCCTTCCTCCAATCAATAGAACCCCTTCACAGCCAAGATCCATAGTCAGTGGGAAGGTGGCAGGCCTGCAGTCCCCCCCAAATAACAGAGTAATAGAGGCTTCCGTCACAGTGATCTATTATCAAGGGGAGACGGGGTTAATGCTGAAACAAGTGGGTTATACTGCTGCCTACATGAGATTGGACACTAGCAAACAAATCTGTTAGTCAGCCAGATGTAAACTTCACATCACGCTCCAGTTTTAAGCTAGTGTCTTTCTGAGAGAAGTCAACCCTTTCCACTAGATCATCTTTTTTTTTAACCAAGATTCTTTCCTTACTGCAGACTCAGAGTCTGTAATGGGACCCTAGAGCACTGGGCTCTGCTTGGGTTGCTTTCCAGACACCTGGTGCACTGAGTGAGTCAGCTGCAGTGCACTTTACAGGTCCAGGGTATGCCTACTGGAGGGGGTGAAGACTGGATGGGGCATGTCTCTTGTGTCCTGCTTTGGCACTCTCCAGCTTGACTGTATTTGGAGTCTTCAGGACTCCTTCCAGACAACCGCTGCAGAAAGTCACAGGAACTTGCCCTTTTGGTGCCTGGTGTGTTGTTATTGTGCTATTGTCTCCGACTGCAACCCTGCAGAGGTTACTGCTTGGAGCTGCGGTTGCAACTCTTCATGTGTAGTAGGACATGATCAGTAAGAGGATGCTGCCCCACTTTTGAAATTTGCAACTTGCGCCCACCTTATTGAGCCTGCACAGCACCCTGTTTGTGTTTCTACTACTGTGCATGCACTGTGCCTCCTCCTATGTTGCACACTTACTTTCACAGCCTTTCCCATCCTCCACCTAGAGTCTGCACCACCACTGCTTTAGAGTGGCAAAGTCACACATTGCCATATAATTGCCACTGCCCCTGCAGCTGGTCGGGAGTACCCCTTTTGGGACCTGCACTCTTGCAGTACATCGGATCAAAAGCGAAGCGTGAGAAGTCCTCCCAATCCATTAACAGCTCTGGGGCAGCTTGTGGTGCCCCTGCCCACAGCCTGACCCGAACATCCTGAACAGCTGTCCCCTGCTGGAATCCTCATGCTCCTTGGAGTTTTCCCTAACACTCCTAAGTGTAGCTCCCTTTTCTGCGTTATTTTGCAACCATGTCAGACTTCATGGCTAAAATCACTTTCATGATAGCTGACTTGGCATGCAGAGTATGCAGCAGGCATCCTCCCATTCTGTGTCAGAGTTCTGATTTGCCTGTAGCTGCATTCAGCTAAGGATGAAGAGGAATGTAACCTATCTTTTTTCGATGAGTTTGTGCATTTTGCATTTTGCCCAGCTATTTTTCTAAAGCATTTTGCCCAGCTATACCCCATTGAGGAGCTGTTCCTTAAAGGCTAAGTTTTCCCACCTGACCACCCTTTTACCTGAATTACGGGGTTCTTATCACCGCAGGCTTGTTTACATTTTTTAATTTGGTGTGGCTGGAGAAGAACCTTTGTCAGCATCTGTTGAAAGAGAAAGTCCCATTTGTCACCACAGTAGAGAAACTTGTAGTTCTCAATGGAATACAGGTGTGGTGATGTCACCTCACTTGTAGTCCATTAACTCTTCCTCTCATTCATCTTACTGAATGTCCATACCTCTGTATGGACAGACGAAAGGGAGAATCTGCAGGAACCAGAGCATTGCACCCAAGATCCACTGATCGTGGTTGCAATGCTTTACTGGCTCCAATGCAAATCAATAATTGCATTTTTTTTGTATGAAGAAATGTGCATTTAGATTTTTTTTATTTAAAAGCTGCAATTATTGTTACAGAACTGGAGCCAGTCATTGCTGTGATGTCCATCTGCCCAACCTTGTATGGTCCAAGCACATGTCTTGTGATCTTGGTTCAATCTGTACTGATTATTCAGTTTTCCAACAATTTGAACTTTTACCTGTTGCCCTATACTATTGTATTGACAGGCTTGCAAATATCTTACACCTGATATCTAGAATGGACCTTTTGTCTGTACATATGCAAAGTACCCTTTGGGACAAATGCTGGTCTGCAGAACATCACTGCAAAAAATGCATGTTGTGCATGCCCTTTGATGGTGAGTGCCCCTTTTGGAACCTCTCTGAACAACTTTATCAAGAACATCACAGGCGTAAGAAGCACCCTTTTGTCCCAGAAAAAAATGGCTAAGCCTCAGACTGGAAAATCTTCTATCTCATAAGCTAAAAAGCGTTCTTTTGGTTTATCTCAGTCCTCTTGCTCGAAGGCCAGGCCTGGATATCAGTTTCATCACAAGCCTTGGAATCCCAAAGCCTCCAAGTCTGTAAGCTAGTCCTCCTTGCAATGAGGTGATGCCCCCACTTTTTATTGTTAGCCTTTGCTACCACCTGGATTGAACATACAGTATATTGGATGCTTGGGTGATGGACATGGTATCCAGGGTCTACAAGCTACAGTTTCAAACTCTACCACTTCTCCGCTGAATGATGTCAAGCATTCCAAAATTCCGGCAAAGATGAGCAGACCACTATGCTGCTCTCGCTCAATGGCTCTCTTAGGGAGTCATAACCATGCTTCCGGAAAAAGAAAGGTTTCAGGGTTTTATACTCAGACAGACATATTCACTGTCCCCAAAGCAAAATGCATTTGCCCCATTCTGGATCTAAAAGCACTCAACGACTTCATTCAAGTGGCTAGGGAGGAGTTCTAGATACATGTTTGGTGCAGGGAACTTGGTCGTCGAAGGAAGCTCGTCTTGATTGCAAAGTTAACCTGGATTCAATTAGATGTGGCATACATAAACCATAAGGGAGGAACCAGAGGTCTTTTGGCTTACAGAGAGGTCAATCAAACTGTGGCTTACAGTAGTAGAACGTCACATTCCAACTCTGTCCATTGAGCACATTCCAGGTGTGGAAAATTGGCAGAGGGATTTTCTCAGTTGTCAAACCACTGTCACAATCGGGGAACATCAGATCTGGACCACCTGGTTTCAAGACAACGACAAACCGAGTAGGTTTGTCTCCAGGTCTAGGTACCTTCTAGCCATGGCAATGGATGTCCTGTTGACTCTGTGGGATAGGTATAACCTGATCTATGACTTTCCTCCCTCTGAAGCTTCTTCCTTGTCTGCTTCTCAGGATTGAAACGGAGGGCATCCAAGTGATACTTACTGCACCAAAATGGCCCAGGTGGATGTGGTGCTCTGACCTCACCAGACTCCTTACAGACTCTCCGTGGGCTCTTCCAGATCACCTGATTCTACTGTCCCAAGTAGCGATTTACCACTCTGCTTCATGATCACTGACATTTAGGCCATGGCTGTTAAAGCCATAGTCCTAAAAGCCTGATTTCATTCTTTCTACACTCATAAAGGCTAGGAAATGCACCACTCACAGGGTCTATCATCGTAACTGGAAGGTGTACTTTCGCATGGTGCAAGACATGGAAATTCCATCTCGGGAGTTACTCTGTAGTGACGCATCCTGGCCTTTCTCCAGTCTGGTCTGGATCAGCATTTGGCTTTGAGTACCATCAAAGGCCAGATCTCGGCTCTTGTAATTCTTTTCCAGACTGTTTGGGGTTGATTTACTAAAGGCGAATAGGATGTTCACTTGGCAAGGGAATTTGCACTGTCCAGGGACATTTTTCTTAGCTTAGTAAATGTGGTGAAATTTCACTTTGTAAAAAAACCCAATAAGGAAAGGAAAATAAAAACAGCATTTTTGCTTGCTCGTGATTGGATGATGGTGGTCAGCAGAGCTTCATGTCACTAATTAAGGGGAAACTTCCCTTGCAAAGTGAACAGCCTATTTGCCTTTGGTAAATCAACTCCTTTGCCTCTCATTGCCTGGTAAAATATATTGTGCAGAGTGTGACAGTTCAATCTATAAATCCACCTGTGATTCTGTGGAAGCTCAACCTGGTTCTGTTAACCCTTCAAAAACTGCCTTTGGAGCCTATCAGAGATATTAATTTGTCTATTTCACTCTCTACGAGGTAAGTTTGAGTTAGTGGCCTTGTCTTATGAGGACCCTTTTCTGGTGCTGCACAGGGACAAAGTTGTCCTAAGGCTTAGAGCCTCCTTTATCTCTAATGTGGTTTTCACCTTTCACAAGACATTGTGCTTCCACCTCCCTGTCCTGTACCTGTACATTCCAAAGAGATATGCCTCCATTGTTTGGATGCGGCGCAAGCTGTTTGTGTTTACCTCTCCACTATGGCTTCCGTCCAACAGACTAATTACCTTATCATTCCTGAAGGTTCCCATAAGGGACAGCCTGCCTCTTGTTCCACTATTGCTGGATGGGTTAGGAACAAGATTACACCTTTTCCTGTCATTGTGCACTCCACTAGATCAGTGAGTGCCTCTTCAGCCTTCAGCTGTCTGTTTCTCAGATTTGCAAGGCTGCCACCCAGTCTTCTATTCACACATTTGCTAAGTTCTACCAAGTGGATGTTCAGGGCTCTTCTCTGCCAGTATCAGATGAAAAGTCCTTCAGGTAGCTCTTTGAGCTACAAGCTACCCCGGTTTTACACAGTTGTTTTGGAGGGCTTGTTAGCCTTTTGTTTCCTGTGTTGTCTGCCCTTCATTTGGTCTGCTTTTGGACATTCCTCTTGTCTCAAACCTAACCTTATTTACTTTAATGAATGATCAAGAAAACAGGATTTTTGTACTTACCATAAAATGTTTTTCTTTAGGGGAATTAGGCACCACCCCTCGCTTTTTCACAAAACTGGAGCATGGTGGAAGTAGGACGGATTATATCTGGCATACTAACCGCTTTAAGAGTTTGCAATCCATTGTATGCAGCAGTATAACCACCTTGTCTCTGAATTAATGTGACCCCTAATTACCTATAAGAAAAAGTTAACTGCAAAAATCCATTTTCCGGGTCTAAATACTGTCTGCCCTGGTGACACTTCGTTTTCCTTATTTCTTGTCCTAATATCACAGGGATAAAAAGTGAACAGAAATCTTTTTACTGGCATTACACATGAATAAAAAACACACCAACTCTTCTGAACTCTACCCAAAATGGAATGAAAGAGTGGGAACCTGAACATCTCATTGTTCTTATCAGGAAACAAGCAAATAGAAACATAGACTGATTTAAGGTCAGAGTTAAACAAGACTGCATACTCTCACCATACTTATTAACCCTGTATGCTGAACATATAATAAGAAGCCAGGCTGGCGGAAAATAAAAGAAGTTTTAGGATTGATGAAGGGAACATTAACAACCTTTGATGACAATACACTCATAGTTGAAACTGTAGAGGAGATCATAGAGAAAGTTAAAGTACAAAAGCCTTGTTTCTTTTAAAAGATGGAATTTCATCTAAATATCAAGAAAAATAAGGTTATGACAACAGGATAGACAGCTAACTCCAGAGTTCATGGTGAAGACATAGAAGTAGTAGACAGCTTTTGCCTTCTTGGATCAATTATTAACAAAAGGGATCCAGCAGTCAAAAATATGATGCAGACTGGCACTTAGAAGCCCAAGGGTGGAAATCCTAAAAAAGATTTTCAAAAGTACTGATGTGTCTAAGTACCAAGATCAGAATTATCGAGGGTAAGGTATTTTCTGTCACTCTCTCTGGATGTAAAAGCTGGACAATGAGCAAGCAAGACAAAAAAGATGATCCCTTTGAACTCTGGTTCAAAGAACCAACTTGTTGGAAAAGACAATAATGCTTGAAAAAGTTGAAGGAAAGAGAATGACCAGCAATACAGTGGCAAGATACAGCTATAGCAAGTATGAACATGCCATGGGGAAAACTTTAGATCCAAATACATAGATGAATCGTAAATTATATGCACATTTCTGCTTTTCTTCTGTAGTTTGTCAGTAGTAATTTAAAGCAGAAGTATTGGAAGAGTAAAATGTACTCTTCTCAATACTTAGACCTACGGTGTCACATGCCGGCTCTATAGATTGAGAGCTGAGAGATCACATACCGCTGATCGGTCACCTCAAGGTCTTCTCCCTGCAGAGAGCAGTGATTGTCAGTCACTGCTTCCCACAGGGATTTCCCCCTCCCCTCTCTGCTCCTCCAGCACTCATTGGAGGAACAGCCAGGATGGGGCAGGCACGGATGGGTCTGGCTCTAGAGAGGCAGAGCCTGCTGGGAATTATGCAACAGAGAGGATCCCGAAAATATTGTTGGGATCTTTGCTGGCTGCAGCACGGCTCTGCACTGTCAGCAAATAGCGAGTTTGGGTCACAGGAGTACATCAGTAAACAGGAGTAAATGTACTCTTTTGACCCAAAAGGGGACTAAAGCCAGAAAAAAAGGTTTGGCTTAAGTTCTCTTTTAATGCAACAGGATTTTCACAAGTTAATATGGAGGCTTGGAAAGCAAAGTGGTGTGGCAAGATCTGAAGAAAAGTCGAGATCTGCATATATATTTTGGTAGCTGTATCTCTGCATCTCCTGATGTTATCACTTAAGGTTATTACTGCTTATGCATGCTTTCATCCTGAGTCTGTCAGAATTGCCCAGGTTTGTGTTTTATTTTAACATCTTGCAAGACACTGTAACCCATAACAGCCAATCCAAAATCACCTTTTATTAGATTGCACTATTACACTTACACTATTCTGCCAAAAATGTGTCTAATTAGTTGCTAACAGCTGATTCACTTAATTTCTGTCTGCGGTGTTACAAAATAAGCCAATAACTCCATCCTACCTGAATCCAATATGTTTAGCAAGGTATACTATCTTCAGAACAAAGCGTATATAAGAAGCCATATATAGTCTCCACTGTAATTGCTGAAAAAATGAATCGACTCACTATTGTGAACTGAAGTGCTAATGCATACATAATCAAGACATGAACTTCATCTAATCTGCTGTAATCAGTCATAGCATAGCTTTATGATATTTTAAGGTTTATGTATATGCCTCACTTGCAAGAATACAGCCTTTTGACAAAGCATGTACAGCAAGTTCACATGGATCTGGACTATGGCTGTTCTGTTGTTGACAGCAGAACTGACCCAATCCACTGTGGGTTGCATGTATTACTTGCATGTTTATAAAGTTACATTCATGTACCATACTCATCATTTCACTGTATTTTTTTTCTTTCTGCTAATAATTGTAGTCGGCTGTTGCATCCTTGCCTTCCTGCTGGGCTTGATCTTTGTTCAGCGTTCGGGGAATTATTTCGTCTCCATGTTTGATGATTACTCTGCCACTCTACCACTCACCATTGTGGTCATCCTGGAAAATATTGCAGTAGCTTGGGTGTATGGCACAAAGAAGTAAGAATCATATCACTGTCTGATTAACACATTGAACCTGAATCTAGTATTTTTTTAATGTACCCAAACTGACAAGCAAAATTATATGAAAATAAGTTGTCTTTTTTATTATGTGTTTTGAGACCGTTTTTTTTTATAGAAATATAAAAATGTTTGTTATAAAATAATATTTATTTCTGTATCCCTCAATGAAGTACAGAGTGATGATCAGATATATCATAGGACCTCTGGGTTTATATTGCCACCTTCAGAAAGCTAGGTGCAAAGAAATGAAAACTAATGGTCAGGCCCCATCTGGTGACTAAACTTGACAGTGGTCCTAACCTTTCTCTGTGTCATCCAAATCTAAAAAAAAGTTTTGCCTTTAGTTATAGTGTACTTTAATGTTTCTAGTAGAAATCTACATAAAATCACCCACCTTAAGAGCTGGGGTAGGCTGGTGGTGTCTGTTAGCCTTTTTCTTTTGTGCAGCATCAGCAGAAAAGGAAGCAAGGTTTTGAGGCCATCCTGCATGAAACGTTTATAGATTCAAATCCAAAGCAGGAACATCTGAAGAGGCAACAGGAAACAGCAGGACAGGTGATGGAATTCCAATGAGGCAGTAGAAAGGAGACCCTTGAAAATGCAGCCATAGGAAAAAGTTCTACCTAGTTATTCTGTGCTTGAAATACTAAGCATCCCAGGAACTGGTCAAAGAGTTTTTCAGCAGTATAAGAGGATGGAACTTGGTGATAAGTGTTCTTAAGCTTAGTCAGCAGATGTAAATGATTTGTAGAAATCATCATGGAAGGATATGATTGGTTCCTGAATGGGAACTATAGAGTGAAACGAATCTATAACGGGAAAGAGAACAATCGGTATTCTTGGTACCAGGTGAAAAAGTGACAGTAAAATTAAAGTTGAAGCTCAGATTGGAGAAAGTTAATTGCTTGTTTTGTCTAGGGGAATTGAACTAAGGTGGCTTTTTCCTTGCTCCTTCCAGCTTCCTCTGCGGCGCAAGACCCCGAAATTGCTTCTCTTTAGTGCCCAACCAGTTGCAGTTCTGCAACGTTATCATGTACAATGCAAGACGCTTAGGGAACACCCACATCCTAGCAGCCTCTGATAACAGAGGACTGCACCAAGTGAGAGATGAGGTCAATTATTTTACCTTATTTGTCATTCCCTAAACAAAAAAAGAAGTTAACAAACACTGCAGCCCAGAGTTCACCTTTAGGCCCCATGCACACACAAATCGACCTGCACGTACAGCTCCGTGCTGCGTGCAGGGCCGTACCAAGTAGCTGCCAGGAAGGACAGGGGCTGCGTGTGATTAGTATGATTGCAGGTCCGTAGGGGTGCGGGTTTTCTGGCCGGGACGCATACAGGATCCATTCCGGCGGCGTCTGAATACGATCACCTGCACCCCTACGGACCTGCAATCATACTAATCACACGCAGCCCCTGTCCTTCCTGGCAGCTACTTGGTACGGCCCCGCACGGAGCTGTACGTGCAGGCCGATTTTTGTGTGAATGGGGCCTTAAATCTTGAAAAGAAGGCCCAGCAGACCTGACAATAATTTAGTCTCTCGTCAAAAATAAGATACTCCTAGTTTTGTGGTTATTCAGAATGTTAATTGACATAAAAGATGCTTACCAAAGATGACCCCACTCACTTCCAAGGTGAGCTTGATGGAAAGCAGTTCACAATTAGTAAGATCATAGTTGTGTTCAGTAGCAAATACATTCATAGAAAAATGGACACTGGGTTGTTTGCCTTGAAAATCAGAACACTGAGAGAAGTTGGCAATATCGGACACATCAGCTTTAAGAACAAATAGTGTTACAAAGGCTTTTTGAGCATCAGGAAATTAAAAACCCTTTTTAGTCAGGGCAGTAAGAGGAAAAACTATCTTAAAAAACACCTTTATGGATTATCAATAGTCATTGTGAGAACCCCAGGAATTGTTGAACAGTTTTTACAGAGTTGAGGCATTTTTGATTGGCTGCAACAACTTTACTGGGATAATCTCAATACCTTCAGAGGACAAGATGAAACCTAAGGAGAAAACCTTTCCCTGCTCAAAACAACGATCCTCCGCCTTGGCATAGGGACCATTTTCTCAAAGATGAAGAAGAACCTTCCGTACATGAATATGATGTTGTGGGATAGAGGTAAAATAAATAAGAATGTTACCTAGGTAGAAAAGAATAAATGGATCAAGATTGTCTGTAAACATGTAATGAATGAAATCCTGGAAAACAGCAGGAGCATTACAAAAGTAATCACCAGGTATTTGTAATGCCCATCTTGCGTGCTAAATGCTGTTCTTTATGGGGGTTTTTTTTTATACGAATGATGTTGTAGGCCCCCCTCAAGTCTATTTAGTAGGGATGCATCAATACCGTTTTTTCGGTATTTAGTACTAGTAGCGATATTTATATTTCGGTACTCGCCGATACCGGTACTTCCGGTAGCATGGAGCCGGCTTCCCAGGCAATCCGAAAGCAGGGAGGCGGGTCATTACCCACTGCCCAACTCCATGCTGATTGCCGGCTTCCCAGCCAATCAGCATGATGCCAGCTTCCTGGCCAATCAGCATGGAGCCAGCTTCCCGGCCAATCAGGAAGCTGGGCCGTGAGTCATTACCCACCGCCCGGGCTTCCTGATTGGCCGGGAAGCCGGCTCCATTTTCCCTTGCGGCACTGCCGGTCAGAGGAAGTGGGCAAGTTTTAACATGAGGAGGGAAGGTTCAAGGAAGCAATTTGATGGCACATTCATAAGGCTTATGGGGAGCTACGATCTCAGCTTGTTTTTTTCAAATACATCCAGAGCAATTAGCATACTGAGGCAAGACAAATTGGAAAAGGTGACCACTAGTACTAGTGAGGGTGGCAGACATGAAGAAAAAGTAGGGCCTAAAGATATTATTTGCTTATTACACAAGGAAATATGGTGTCATGAGTTCAAAGCAAGGCAGTCCAAGAATAACCGTACTGCAAGGTACCTTATGATAAAGAAGCATGTATTATTTAAATGAAGTGCACCAACCAACAGAATAAGTGGAACAGTAACCAAAGAATATGAAAAGAGATTGAATAAACAAATATTAAATAAAACAAAGAAATTGAGCAAAAGCATAACATGGGGATTTATAGAGTCCTTCAGGACTATGAGTGGGATGCCACAAGACTGAGGAGAAACAACGTAAATAAAAATTCTATTTTAGGTGGTACAAGGGGGGTGTAGTCTCAGGTGGTTGATCCTGCAACTTTTTGATCAGTAGTATCCTAATGTTTCCCCAGCAGGAAGTGGTTTAGTGGCTCTTGACATTGGTATTTCTTTTGCTATTCTTGGTGTGTACCTCCATCTTATTCCCTCTGTTAGGCTTGAGCCATGGGACCTCAGCCTGATTCCAGCAGTTTTGCAGTAGCCTTAAAAACATCCAGGAAATACTCTTGTGGACCCTTGTGGACCTTCATGAGGAGATTGTGTTACTCTTGTGTTGTCAGGTTTCGGTTTATCCTTTGAGAGCTTTGCACTCATTATATTCGGTTAAGGCCATCAGGATGTACAATCGTGTGAAAAACTAAGTACACCCTCTTTGAATTCTATGGTTTTAAGTATCAGGTCATAATAAAAATCACCTGGTTCTTAGCAGGTGTTAAAACTTGGTAAATACTTTACATCCTCAGATGAACAACAACACATGACATATTGCACCATGTCCTTATTTCTTTTCCAAACATAAAGCCAAAGTGGAGAACTAAGTACATCTTATTATTCAATCGCTTGTAGAACCACCTTTAACAGCAATAGCCTTTAAGTAATCGTTTTCTGTATGACTTTATCGGTCTCTCACATCATTGTGGAAAAATGTTGTCCCACTCTTCTTTGCAGCGCTGCTTCAGTTCATTGGGGTTTGCGGGCCTTTGTTTATGCACAGCTCTCTTAAGGTCCCACCACAGCATTTCAATTGGGTTGAGGTCTGCACTTTGACTGGGCCATTGCAACTCCTTGATTCGTTTCTTTTTTCAGGCATTCTGTTGTAGATTTGCTGGTGTGCTTGGGATCATTGTTGTGTTGCATGACCCAATTTCGGCCAAGCTTTAGCTGTTGGACATATAGCCTCACAGTTGATTCTAAGATACTTTGGTATACAGAGAAGTTCATAGTAGACTAAATCACTGCAAGGTACCTTAATTCCTATGGAAGCAGTAAGGGTGTACTTGGTTTTTCACACATAACTTCTCCATTTTGGCTTTATGTTTATAAAACCATAGAATTCAAAGAGTGTGTACTTTCTTTCTCACATGACTGTACCTCAATACAAATATCAATTTCCTTGAAAAATAGATTCATTGTGTGTCATGAAGAAGGGACTTGCAGCTTTTTCTTACACTATATCCAGAAGGATCTTTCCTGTAAATGTTACTGCTTTTTCCACTGTAGCAGTTAAAGCTTCATAAGCCTTTCATCATCAGGCCTTTGGGTTTGTAAGTGGCAACTTGGTCTTCTGTGCATAACTTTATGAAGACATCAGGGGTTTATTAGGCCCCTTATGTCACCTAGGGACCCCCAAAGGAGCTGATAAAGCATGTCTGCTTCACCAGCTTCTTTTCCAGCTACAGAAGCCAGAGAAATGACAGGCTGAAGGCGGAAGTGATGTAATACAAATCCTCCCGCATTTAGAGATTGTAGGGGAGATCAGCAGGTGGAAGTGTGCTGATCTTCCTCCGTTCTCTCCTGGGTCTGCAATGGGGACAGGGTAGCCTGGGATAACTCTGGGGGGGGGGGGGGGG